GGAAATCTACCTTCGTGGCGGCGTAACATTTCCGTTCGCCGTGCGTAAATGATATTTGAACCCCCCCCCAAAAGCATGCCGCCGCCTTCTTCTTCGTCTGTGTTCTTGTTCTGGTATAACTGCGGGTTATTTTGTTTCCATCAAAATGTAATTAGTCTATTATATGTAATTTGCCCCTGCGTGCCAAACTGCACATTTCCACTACATGTTCTAAGTTCAATTTGGGCAACGAGTCGTTGCGATCATCCCGTGCCCTCCAGTCTCTCTGCTGTCACATAAAGGAGCACTCTGCTTAGATGCCAGCCCACCTAGAGAGGAGCACTTAGAGCCCATTATTAACCCATAACAAGCCCTGAGAGGGGCAGGGCAAGCTGTGGCTTAAGTCTCCATAGTTCTCCATTCCGGGATGAGCCACCGGCTCTTAGGCCCAGACTGGTGATCGCCCACTCCCTAATTGATTTATTCCAGCGAAGTCAGCCGGCTGTGTTTAGTTGCTCCAGCGCTGAACAGGGAGCGCTGGCGGGCGTTCCCTGTAGCGGCCGGCCTGTGTGTGCCTGTGCACGATTGCTCACTCGGAGAGCTTTGCAACACGACGGTGTGTAAAGAGCCGATCTCTGAATTGAGGGAGAAGAGGAGAAGAATTGTGAATACTGCATACATGTTTGTGAGTTCCACTGCTGGTGGACCAGCCTTTGTGTGCACACAAACACCTAATCTTTTCTGCCAATAAACTAAAGGATATGGGGATATTTGAATAATGTAATTTAGAAATGCAATGCTTGGAAAGCTTGAAGAAAAGTATTTTCTAGGATGTATTTGTTCGACAGGTACCTCTGAACACCTGTAGGACAGATAATGTGCACGCCCTCTGTCCTGCTGTTTTTAGGTTGTATTCTGGACTTGGTTGTGTTGATATGTTATTTATCTGGTTAACTGGTTAAGTTCTGTGACAATTTACTTTTCTGCTCTAAAAGTGCCCTTGTTTGTTGCTCTCCCGACAGTTTTTCGTTTTTATTTCTCTGATCAAACTCTTAAGTGTTTTCTTTTTTGGATTCAAAGGTATTGAATTATGCTTATGCTGTAAAGATTAAGCCATCAAGCACATTTGAGTATTCCTAAATAAACCCGACTTGGTCCTCCACCATGGTCGTCCTCCGCTAGCATCAAAGCTGCTTTCTATTATTGATATTGCAAAAATTGTTGTTGTGAGACAAGCTGTTAAGACATGATTTATCAGCAAGCTCCTCCGTTTCCACGTCTGCCACTGGATCTGATCGGGCCGATCCCCTTTTGGGTTATGTAATGTCTTGTGTACGTGGGTCTCGTTGGCGGCATTGTCTCAGGTTTTCGCGGGGGTCTTTCTTTGGGCCGCTAGCCATCTATCTCCATTCCGCCACCATGAGCTCTGCTCGGCGGAGTTATTTCTGGATGTCGTGCTGCTGTGTTTTGTTCTCTAGCTTCTAAAAATACGCCCTTACCTCGCGGTTCATGGCCTCAGAAACCATCTCCATTGTTTTTTTGATGTGGTTGTGTTGGTGATGATATTGTGTTGTTTAACACTTTGGCAAGGGAACGCTTTGAAGACACATGGAGGCGCACATTCTCGTACAAACAGCTGCAGGGGAAGCAGCAAGGAGACGACCGGGGTCACCTCTGTCCCAGCTGTCTTAGGGGGTGCAGGCTTGTCCTGCCCCTCGGACTGGCGAATACCCTTTCTGCTTCGCTCAACACAAAGCCGCCATTTCTTCTGAGCGCACACGTGCTAAACAGCGCACACACACGCGCACACACTCTGAGGCACAGTGACGGGCTTGCGACATACCCCACGCAGACCAACTGCTCCCTCAATCAAAGCGTCCAGCACACGAGGCCTGAGCCCGGCCAAATGAAACGGTGTCATGCTTTTTGTCGGGCACAAGAAGGACTCAAAAGTGTTTTTTTTTTTTTTAAATTAAGAAATCCAATCAACGTAATGCAACTGGATAATAGGAAAGTGTTTTGTAACTGCTTGACTTGTCGATGGAGCGTCTTTGTGTCTCGCTGGAGCAGATTCCTCAAATCGAGACCTTTTTGACGAATGTGTAAAGCGCAAGTTTACTATTTCATTAAAAATCCCAGAGAAGAGTGATGCGATGTAAGAGGAGCTTCTGACAGTTGGCTCAGCCTGATTACAGCAGTTGTAGTCGTGCTCACACACACACACACACACACACACACACGTACTACCCAGGAGGACCAGCCATCTGCTCACTCTCCATACAGCTAATTTACACACACACATACACAACTCTACTTTCCTCCAAACTATGCATCCAGCCCCTCTCCCTACCCCCCCCCCCCTAACTTTTTTACACACATGCCCCCCCCACCACCACACTTCTCATTCCGCCCCCTGCCACGTTTTGCAGTCTCTTGCAGTACGTTGACCATCAGTCATGGGTGTCTGTGCTCTCCAGATGGACCTGGGAAAGCTTGACTCCCCTCGGGCACATCCAAGCCTGTGACTTCAGAAGTTAAGCTTGATTCAGGGAGAGCTGGATAAATGCTTTGTCTCCAGGAGAATGTACTCTCGTGCTGTTCGGCCCACATAGACGCGGTCGAGCTTTCAAACCACCGCCAGGATCGTGAAAACTTTTAGCTTTCCTTTTGGATACCACGACAGAAGATGTACTGGGAACTGTGGCTGAGCCAGGTCACAGCCAGTGCCGCGCTGCAGTGCATGCTGGTCCAGAACAAAGGTGGGCAAGCGTTGTGCGTCAATGGGGAAAGTTGTGATTTGAGCAGATGCACACACGGCATGCGCCTGCGACATGATGATTCAAGATTAGAGCCATAACACTCCATGCTTCACACTCCAGATTTGACTTCATGCTATTAGTCGTCTGTTGCCAACCTTAACGGGCCTGAGGACAAAGTTTTTATCGAGCGAGGTGACTCAGAAGCCTGAGAGTTGAATGCGCCATCCTTCTCCCTGACTTGCTCACCGCAGTCTGATGTTTCCAAGTCGTCTGGCATCCAACACTGAACAAGTGCAGGTTCCCAAGCCGCAGGTTAAAAAGCAAATCTGAAAAATGTTTTGTTGTGAGCCGTGTGTGATTGTTTCACACATTAGATTACCGTGGAGTCCGTTAATCTCTCGTGAACACCAACACATTTCCCAGTGTGCGCCGTGGTGTAAGATAAATAACGTATGGCTGTTTAGTTTAATAAAAGAACAAGGTATAGATAGACCTGTTGTGTAGGATAGTAACTTTAAATGACTTCCGTTGTGGCGCTATATAGAAAATAAAATTGAAGCAAATGACCCTGTCGACGGGGCTTTGAAATCGTTGAAGCTTGTCATTAATGCACAGCAGTGTTTCCCCTTCAATAATATTGGGGAAACACTGCTGTGCACTAATGAAAAACTTTAACGATGTCTACATATAATTATGTAGAAATCCCCATTCTTCTCGCTAATAGTCTAGCTTATAATGTATAAAATAAAGTTAGAGGGATGCATTCATATTCAATTGTTTCATTACTAGCAAAACGTTACTCCCAGTAGCTTTATATGTAGTTGTATTTCTATTCTTGAAGGCTGCGTTGCAGTTCCATAAGAGAGCATCTCTCATCCCCCGTCTAAAAGTAAGAAATTGTTCTGAATCATCTCGTTCCCTTGTTAAGAAGCCAGAAGATGACCTTCAGCCGTCGTAAGTGCTGTGATGGTGTCTTTTGTTACCCAAACTACAGCCCTGGGATTATTTTCTTGAACTCCAGCTTCAACCATTTAGTTGCTGTTTGATAAATTAAAGTACAGGGTAGAAAACCACACCACTATACACAAATAATGACTAGTGCTGATGTAGTTCACTGCCTCACCACATTTTTATTTTGGGCTGTATGTGTACAACAAGTCATATAGACCATATTTAAAAATAATGTGACCAGATAAACTCTGTTTACGGTCTGGGCATTTGTAACAGGATTTGTGTTGCCAAATTATTCTTTTTATATTTTGCTCACGTAAACAAAATATACAATTATACCACAAATGGCTCCGCCAAAACAAACAAATGTAAACGTTTGTGAATGCACGCCGTCTTGCACGTACTAAATTGTGAGAGAATCGCTGTCAACGCCGTTGCTTTCAGTCTTTTGAGGCAAGACCCAAATGTGACAAGTAATCTGTATCGAAGGAATCGTTCTCCGTTCCCTGCCCCTCCGATTCAACACCCTCCATCTCCCACTTGCTCAGCAGCTGTCCAGACACGCAGTGACTTTGGCAGCAGCTGTCGAGTTCTGTCCGCGTAAGCCACGCATGTACTTGTTCTCCGTGGTGCGTCTGTGAGTGGGTGTGTTATGTAGCTATGGTGATCACTTTTTTGTGTGCAGAGAGAGCAAGAGATTCCTCCCTCCCTTCCTACCACGACGCCGTGGCTCCTCCCTGTCTTGTCTCCTCCTTTGCCCTCCTGTAAATACTGAAATTTGAAAAAAGGCTTCCACCTTACATCTCACCTGGCTCGGACTGAGAAAAGACGGGCTTCTGCGTGTAGCCTTTGATAACCGTGCTCTTCAGAGAGTGGATTCGGTAAAGTGATGCTTTTGAGGTGCCTACAGGCGAGCAGCAGCTTTGAGGACGACTGGACAGCTCTGAGCAGCCGTCAACGCCACACAGGGTTCAGGCAGGCCCAACAGACTGGACCGACAGGTAGACAATCAGTGAAATGGACACTTTGGATCATGGACCATTGAATCTGTTTCATGCGGTTAGAGGATTTGTTGTTTCGGCTACCCTGTTAGCTAAGTGCTTTCTGCCTCAAGACAGTATTGGAACAGGACAGCTTTTTGTGATCCACTTGTGCTGAGTGGGATTTGTAAGACACAGAACAACTTGTTTTGGGTTTCTGTATTGATTTTTATTTTCCTCCACAGTTGTTCTCCTCATGTCGCATTGCCAGTCACATTTGCCGCGGGTTTATCTTCTTTCTCTCTGACCGTTGCTCCTTCTCTTCCTCCAGAGGCGGTGCGATGGAGCTCCAAGGAGAACCTGCTCGGAGCGGCCGAGAGCGACCCGAACCTCTTCGTTGCACTTTATGACTTTGTCGCCAGCGGAGACAACACGCTCAGCATCACCAAAGGTAACAGTCATTCATTTGATTGACTTGATTGCAACAGCTATGAATATGTTTTTCCTTGCTGATTGTCTCACAACTTACTCACGTAAAAACAGGTTTCGGGATGACCGGAAAGACTTGTCCTCCAGTGCGCTCTCTTTCCATGAGTCATCACTGAAGGTTGTGTCGTGGCTACGTGACGCGTCCACCTTAGAAACGCTGTTGACATGTATTGCAACAGAGGGAGTCCTTACATGTAGGAAAGGCTCATTGGTTAAATCCTGCAGGAAGTGCCTCTGACTGACAGGCCAGTAAGTCCTTGCTGAAAGGATGTTTGATGAGTAAAAGTGTAGTTATGCCCGGAGGAATGTCGTCTGTCAATACCAACCCTCACTATGATTGTGCCCTGTGGTGACATCAGAACAAGTCTGCCCCCCCCCTCCCCGCTTAACTTCTCTTCTCTTCACTGTAGCTCTTTGTAGCAAGGGATTGTTACCTAAATAAAACCACGAGGTAACTGGTCAACCATCTCCACAGAGACGTGAGCTAAGAATATTCTCATAATGTTATAGACCGCTAAGCACGGCGTAGCAGCATGCCTCTAATGCTGCGCGTATTTCCATGTGTTAATGCTAATACGGAATTTGTTCAGCTGTAACTGTGACAGGGGAAAGAGCACGACTGGGTAGGCGCCGACCACAGAAGGGACCCACCAAAGCCCGCGTCTGGGGCTAATCTTTTCCTCTTTTCTGTGCCAGGTTGAACCAGGCTAAGCCTGAGTAGGGCCCGTCTTCAGGCGGTGTGTGGCTCCAAAGTGCGTGCGGCAGGGCGGTCGTCAGTGTTTCCACTCCCACAGAAGTTACAGACACAGAGGAGACTGATGAATTGGTGGGCTGGATGTGGATCACCAACCGTCTCCGTTTAATGGAGCTCTGTGGATAGCTGGCACAGTGTTTCACTTAAAGAGCTGGACCTGCTGCCATGGGTAGTGGTTGCATGTTAGTGGGCCACGGTTGGATGACTAAATCCAACGTTTGACTAAACTCACTGTAGTTAGAGGTCTGTGTGTCCAGGCGATCGAGCCACGCTGGCCGCAGTGAGATCCACTCCAGTTTCGTGTGAGATGCTGGTTAACATTTTAATTGTTCCACTTTACCTCTCGACACAAGATCAAACGGCTGCCGCCCTGATCGCCTGCCAGCGTTGAGCAAGGGTAATAAACTGCTGTGCATATATTTGTTTCTTCCACCTGGACTTCTTGCACCAAATGTCCACATCATTGCTTAACTCTTGCACTGCCTTAACACTCAGCCTAAAATCACCTAAAAGCTAACATACCCATATATGCCTCAGAAGATGAAAGATTTTAAGGGGTTTTTGTTTACTTTTTCTAAAACGTCGAGGCTGACTGGTGGGAGAGATAAAGGCGGTGTTAAGCTCGCACTGACGTCACAGACCAAGTCACTACATGCCTGGTGTGGCCTAGCCCTGTATGTCAGAAATGCAGTTCACCCAACCCTATCATTGTTCCATCGCTTTTGATGTAGTTTCTATGGGAGGCACGTTGAATAGATTGCTCCCATCTGCTGTGCGTGAACAAGCCAAGGCTGGGGCCTGATGAGGCATTCTCCTTGTGGTGTCTCTTTCTAAGATTTTGAATACAGATTAAAAAAAGCTGACTCAAAAATTCTGGCTTCCAGCTTTTTTAAAGGACCCATTAACGGTACGCATTGGAGAGATAAAAGCCATGATGATGTCTGACAAGTTTCCCCTCCCTGTGTCCAGGTGAGAAGCTGCGTGTGCTGGGCTACAACCAGAATGGAGAGTGGAGCGAGGTGCGCTCCAAGAACGGCCAGGGCTGGGTGCCCTCAAACTACATCACGCCGGTCAACAGTCTGGAGAAGCACAGCTGGTACCACGGGCCCGTGTCGCGCAGCGCCGCCGAGTACCTGCTCTCATCCCTTATCAACGGCAGCTTCCTGGTCCGGGAGAGCGAGAGCAGCCCCGGACAGCTGTCGATATCCCTCCGCTATGAGGGCAGAGTGTATCACTACCGGATCAACACGTCTTCTGATGGAAAGGTAGAGTGAAGAGCAAAGGGTGGTTGACCAATGCCTGCATGCTCCATATTTCATGATTCTCGTCAATTGTTTTGTTCACAGTAAGGTCAAGTTCTGTGCTGCTTTCTCTGTAGTTTGGTTTTAGGTTTTCGACAGCATTTAATTAACCTGGGTCCTTCTCGCTGTCCCTCAGGTGTACGTGACGTCTGAGAGTCGTTTTGCTACCTTGGCCGAGCTGGTCCACCATCACTCCACCGTAGCCGACGGCCTGGTCACCACCCTGCACTACCCAGCGCCCAAATGTAACAAGCCCACAGTGTACGGCGTGTCCCCCATCCACGACAAGTGGGAGATGGAGCGCACGGATATCACCATGAAGCACAAGCTGGGAGGCGGCCAGTATGGGGAGGTGTACGTGGGAGTGTGGAAGAAGTACAACCTCACGGTGGCTGTCAAAACACTCAAAGTAAGAAGCAATGTCGCTGAGTCAATGTGGGAAGCGGGTTTGTGAAAGTGGTTATAGATCGCCACCTGTAGGCAAACTTTGGAAATGCACGTTCTGAATCCTTCCAAGTCTTTCCAACCCACTAAGTTTCCACTTTTCCTTTTGCCTTTTTTCCCCCCACACTTTCCATACTTAAAGGAGGATACCATGGAAGTTGAAGAATTTCTGAAAGAAGCAGCAGTTATGAAGGAGGTTAAACACCCGAACCTCGTTCAACTCCTAGGTCAGTATATTCATGAACGCTGATTCTGTCTTATTCTCTAGAACCAAACCAATTTCCATGCAACATTTATCTCGATGCCTTCTAAGTGGTCCCGGATCTGTCTTTGGGAGACTCATTTACTTTTAGCGGTTGTTGGCATCTCTGTTCTAACTGCTGCCCTTCCACAGGCGTGTGTACGTTGGAGCCTCCGTTCTACATCGTAACGGAGTACATGCCTCACGGCAACCTTCTGGACTACTTGAGAGATTGTGACAAAGAGGAGGTGAACGCTGTGGTGCTGCTCTACATGGCCACACAGATCTCCTCTGCCATGGAATACCTGGAGAAGAAGAACTTCATACACAGGTAAAGGGACACTCAGACGTGTGTGTGTGTGTGTGTGTGTGTGTGTGTGTTTTTCTGTGCCTCATTTGTCGCTGAAATCTAATTTCTGTCTCTTTCCTCCTCTCTTTTTCTCTTTCCTCAGGGATCTCGCAGCCAGGAACTGCTTGGTCGGGGAGAATCATGTCGTGAAGGTTGCAGACTTTGGCCTGAGCAGGTTGATGACTGGCGACACCTACACTGCCCACGCTGGGGCCAAGTTCCCCATCAAATGGACAGCGCCAGAGAGCCTTGCATACAACACCTTCTCTATCAAGTCTGATGTCTGGGGTGAGTAATGCATGAGCCTATGTTGCCGTTACCTGTTCCTCTCCTTCCCATTTTCTATGTGCTAATGTTTAATCCGCTTCCTTACAGCATTTGGGGTGCTGCTATGGGAAATTGCCACCTATGGCATGTCTCCATACCCTGGAATTGATCTGTCTCAGGTCTATGACCTCCTGGAGAAAGGCTACCGCATGGAACAGCCCGAGGGATGCCCACCTAAAGTCTATGAACTCATGAGAGCCTGTGAGTAGTCGCTACCATACCTGCCCTTTACTTATTCACCAAGGGGTTGCTCCGAAGTGGGAAGACAGCCTGTCCAAGATGCACGTTGTTGTCTTTTGATGCATCCAACTCACAATCCTGTTGTTCGGAAGAATTAAACCGATTTACGAACAATAGTCTGGAAGATTATTTCTGTTTTGTATAGTCTAATTTCTGTATTGTCGTTTAGTAACATGTCTACCTCTCTACCAGGCTGGCAGTGGAGCCCATTGGACAGACCTTCGTTTGCAGAGATCCACCAAGCCTTTGAAACAATGTTCCATGACTCCAGCATCTCTGAAGGTAGAGTAACGTACAGCTTATTGTCAGACGTTTTGCATTGTTTAAAACCTGCATTGACAAAGCTTGACAAAGCAAACCTGCTTTCTAAAATCTCTGCTTTGATAGAGGTGATCAGAAAGCTTTGCTCAGCAGAGCTGCCTGTTGAGAGGCAGCTAGAAAATGTTATAGAAGATGACATTTTTTTTTTTTTTTTTTTTGGATGAGTACGGAACATTTTCATGTTAATAAATGATTAAACGTATGTTCTAAATCCATTTTGTGACTGCCTTCTAATAGTTTGAGTCTTTCTTTGTGCGTTGCAGAGGTGGCAGAGGAGCTCTGTAAGACGGCCTCCTCCGGTCACTGCGGGCCGCTGCACCCTCTCAGTCACGACATGCCCCTGTTGCCTTCCAAATCTCGCACCTCCCACAAGCACACAGAAAACAAGGAAAACATTGAAGGTGGACTGGACGGACGATCCGACCACGGCACGCACGGTCACTCAGGTACAGCCAGACATGCCTACCTTTCTTCCATCCGGTCAGACGCACCGCATTATGATTCTGCAGGTACCCCACAGAGTGCCGAGAGTCAACTGCAGCGCCGCCAGGCCTGGTGCCTGAAAAGAAGGGCCCGCTATTTCCCCACCAAGTGACCACTGGTCGTTGCCGGACGTCTGTCGGGCATCTGGCCGATCATCAAAGCGAACCTTGACATAGTCTCCAAACACTGGCCTTGAATTTCAACTGTTTCAACATTTCGTTTCAAGTATTTGTTTATTCCGCCGTGAATCTTAAGTGCTCTTCTCAATGTCGTTCGAGGGTTCAGATGTTATAATAGAAATTATAAAATATTAGTCAGTTTTTCCATTGTGTGTTGTTGGGTCACTTCAAGCCAAACGCAAATGTATTCAGTTTTTTTGTTTTATTTGATAGAATGAATCAATTGCTCATATTCTGTCTTGTCCCTTTTATTAAATTCCCATATTGTCTGTTTGTCTTGTCTCGTTTTAATTTATTGCTTATTTATTTGTTTTACATTGAAAATAAAATGTTTTGTCTGTGCGTTTACTCTGTGAGGAAGATTTCTGTCCCTGTCTTTGTCTGCGTTTTTAACTACTTCTACTGTTCGACTTTTATGTGGACCAAATGTTCCATGAACATGACAAATTAACACGTATTAGCTTCCATTAAGCTATAAATCAAATAAATGTCATTGCTGTGATGGGGCAGAACATTTTACAGTGACATTAAAAACAAAGCACCACCCATAAAACATCAAGTGTATGTTTGGTGTGAATGAATCCACAAAGCTGCTAACCAGTTTTTACTTCCTCTTCATGTCTAATGCGTTCTACTAATCTTGTTTGTATGTGTTTATGTTTTCATGCAAATGCTATCAATGAAGAGAGAACCATGCCAAGTAAGGAATGCCGAGTGTGCCGTTTGTGGCCATGTTCCCTTCACATAACCGTTGTAGTTATGAGTTCGGTAAATCTTTTTCTCCTCCCCAAGCTGTAATTCACTGTCTGGTTAGCCAACTGTTCGCCTCTCTAGTCATTTACGGACCCAACAGAAGTGTGAACATGTTTCCCTCTTTTGAGCAAAGTTACGCAACAGCCCTCCTTTTAACTGGTTGGGCAGTTTTTGTATGTCATGAGTTATCACCCAGTCCCTAGAATCCATTCATCATCCAATCTTTACAAGAGCAGCTCGTAAATCTTTGAATTACTGTTTGCATGTGCATGACTGGCACAGCCTGAAAACTTTCCATCCCCTCTCCTCAAATGCTTTTTCCTCACTCGAGAGTCCCAGAGGAGGAAAGAAAAGCTTTGAGAGCGGGAGGGGAGGGAATGGTTCATTTTATCACAACATCACACAACTGCAATGACAAATGAGTGACATTAATCTGTAGGCACTCTCAGTGAGACAAAGTCTTCACAGCAGTGTTCTTCATGAATTGGTTTCTTGCAAGCTGTTAATGTGTTGTTGTTTTTTTGCTGAGTTGAGCCCAGCCTTGTTTCTAACCCTGGCCCCCTCTCCCTCTCTGCAGGCTGGGCCTCCACACTGCTGGGTGGGGATGGCCGATCAGGCGGCTCCCCGGCTCTGCCCCGAAAACAGCAGCCGCGGGAGAAATCTCCGGGCGGCCTGTTGGAGGACCCGCAGGATGTGGGCACATTTACACGAGACCGCAAGACTGGCTTCTTTAGCTCCTTCATAAAGAAGAAATCGTCTTCCTCCTCATCCTCCTCTTCGCCGTCGTCTCAGCTCCAACAGAACCTCCCGACGCCGCCCAAGAGGAGCAGTTCCTTCCGGGAGATGGAAACGCAGCCGCACAAAAAATACGAGCCCACGCCGGATTTCAGCGCTCCTCCTCCCCAGCCCCATTCGGACGGTCTCGGGGGCTTCTCCTCCTCCTCTCCCTCCCCCTCTCACTCCCACGGAGAGCCCGCCCAGCCGCAGGCGCGGTGCTGCGGCGCCGCTTTTGGGCAAAAGCCCTCTGCCGCGGGGTTCACTTCACAGGTGGCGAGCGGCAGCAGCTGGAGCGGGTTGGCGGGTTTTTTCACCCCCCGACTCATCAAAAGGACCCTGGGGCTACGGACAGGGAAGACGGCCTCCTCGGAGGAGGCGGGGAGCATAGCGGGAGGGCCGAAAGCCTTCCCCAGGTCCAATTCTACCTCCTCAATGGCGTCGGGGCTGCCGGACCTGGAGCGCATGGCTCTGACTTTACCCCGGAACCGCAGTGCGAAACCCCCGCTGGAGAGGACCGCCTCCACCACCTCGCAGCCGGAGAACGGGGGCGGGCGGCCCTCGGAGGCTCTGCTGAGGAGGATGGACGAGGGGACCGCGCAGATCAGGGAAAGGCCCAAAGCCAAGCTGCTGCCCCGAGGTGCCTCCGCCACCGCAGGGGTGAGGGCACCCGGGGTCGGAGGGGAGGTGGGGGACTCTGAGAGCCCGCCTCGGGTCAAGGGAGGGCAGGGAGGAGGGTGGCGGTGTCCTGGACAGGCAGCAGAGTTGGTCATCTCCCTCTAAGGCCTCTGGCTCGATGGCGTCGTCGGCCCTCGCTGCGGGAGCCCAGACTCACAACCACAAAGTCCCGGTCCTGATCTCCCCCACGCTGAAGCACCACAGCCCGGCTGACGTGCACCTGGTGGGGCTGGACTCTCAGGGGAACCGCTTCAGACTGCTGTCCGAGCACCAAGCGGAGCGGGACCGGCCGCGGCTCGTAAAACCCAAGTGCGCCCCCCCGCCCCCTCCCACCCTGCGCAGCCTGCAGCAGGCGTACAGCGGCGACGGGGAGGAGCAGGTGGGAGGAGCGCCCGCGGAAGTGAACGGAGACTCGCTGAGAGGTCACAGGTCGTTGAGAATGTCCGGCGGAGCAGCGACGGGCCGACCGGCGGTGCCACCGCCGCAAGTGCCTCCCGTCACGTCCTCTTCCTTTTCCCCGTCCTGCCCCGGCAACGCCAACCCGACTCCCATCAAAATGGGCAACGGAGCCGCCGTCACCGCGGCCGCCTCGTTCTCCTCCTCCTCCTCCTCTTCGCACGCAGCGCCGTCCGCCGGTTCCAAAGTGGCCCTGCGGCGGACCAGGCAGCAGGCGGAGAGGGCCCCCCTGGAGCGGGCCAACCGCATGGCCCTGCTGGAGTGTGCCGAGTGCCTGAGCAGCGCCCTCCACGCCAGCTCCGAGAGCCCCTCCAGCAGCCAGGTGCTGGACGCCGGCCACCAGCTGCTAGACTACTGCTCAGGTTACGTGGACTGCATCCCTCAGACGAGGAACAAATTTGCCTTCAGGGAGGCCGTGGGGAAGCTGGAGCTCAGCCTGCAGGAACTGAGGGCCTCGTCCTGCGGGGGTGGAGTGCTGGGCGGCGTGGGGCCCCCCACTGTGCAGGACAACCTTCACAGCTGTATTAAAGAGATTAGTGACTTGGTGCAGAGGTAGCCACTGCGTCAACATCAACCCGTCCCCCCCACCCACCCCCCACCCCCAACTGCTAATATTCCTCTTTGTGTTCCGGTTCCTTTTCACTGGGGTGAAATTAAGACTCATTTTTCTTTAAGTACCTCAGAGAAATCACTACAAAATGTTCTTTTTTGTTTTTGTTTTTTTACTGTTTACAAACAAGTGTTGCGTAAGATGCCTGTGTGGACACTGGTTTTGCGCTGACCTAAAAGTATTCAGAAACCTATTGCAGCAAACGTAATGCCGTATAAGCCCCACCGTGACATTGTTCGCCCCTCGCCTCCACCTTGGGCCGTGAAAAAAAGCCTCCTTGTTAAAATGACGAATGTGTCGAGCTGTGTGTAGTCAGACCAGCGATCAGGCAAAGTCAATCAGTCAATACGTCCCTGCTCAGCCTTATGCGAATACCAGACGGTGTTTTCACAGGGGAAGGTATCATGAGTTGGTGTTCTGCAGTCGAGTATTTTTCTCGCTGTCAGGGGAACTAAGTGATCATAAGCCTTTTTTTTTTCTTCTTTTGTTTTAAAAGCCATTATATTCTAAAGGATTTCAAGCGATATGATTCACGGTTTTGAGGTCTCAATTAAGCAGTTTTTATTCTACGTGTAGAATTTAACTTACTGTCACAAAAGTGAAACGACAATATTTTTAAGTAGATGAACTAATGTGATGAAAAATATCACTTCTCCCCCCCCAAAGTGCTCATGTTGACTTGGGACTAAAGCCTTGTTTCTGGGAGTAAACGAGACATTCCCACGGGGCCACACAAGGCCCCCTTGTTGACAAAAAAAAGGACTGATGGGATGACTTGCAACGACACTGCATCCAGCCAAGTGTACATTTTCCGTATTGCCAAACAAAGGCGTATGAAATCTACAAAAGATTTATTCGATATCCAAAACGTAATAGTGAATGTGGGCTGTTTTTCTCATATGCGTGACCTTTAACACAGTGCCACATGAACGGGGGATCCCCACTCACCTAAAGCATTTCAATATTTATGTCCAGTTATCCTTGCACACTACATTTCTCCCTCGTATGATGGAGCATAAATAGAGCGGGGGGAGGGGGAGAGCACAGGGTAGCGCATGAGCAGGGGAACTGGGACAGTATTTCCAAAAGTGTCCTTCTCAGTATGGACCGTGCTGGATTCCCTGTAGCCTTGTCGTGTCCTCAGTGCCTAGAATTCTTCCATGTACGAACACCGCGCGATGCAGAGACCTTCTTCACGGTAATCACACCGTACCGATTTCTCTACAAGAACAAAAGAACAAAAAAGAACTGCAGTATGTCTTCAGCACATGAGCAATTTGTACATTATTTGGTTAAAAGAAAAATGCTTCCTAGAATGTCTATGTCTGAACTTGAATTTTAAATTATTCCTGATTTTACTTCTTTTCTTTTATTAAAAGCACAGACCTATTTTGGGAGAAAAGTTATGTAAATATTTGATTTATTTCATATCCAGGAAACAAAAGATGTATGTGTAGTTACAGCATTGAGAGCAATGTTTTTGACTGAGGAGATGTATTGGGAGACCTCGGCTCAACCACCCTGATCTGAATATCTGCTTGATGAATGTATTTTTATTCTGTTCTGAACTCAAATGTTCACCTGCATGACTCTTTAATCTTTGACGGTGACCTTTTTAAAAATTATTTATTATCTTTTTTTTTATTTTTATTTTTATTGGCCCATATTTCAATTTTGGTTACACTAAATAAGTTCAGAAACAGCTGCTCTGTTTTTTTGAGCACAAACAGAACTGTGTACAGCGCGCGCACACGCAACATGCTTTGGCTCACAACTTATTGTACACTGGACAAGGCCTCAGACACATTGTTTCGTTGACACATGTTCCATACGAGTACGACAAAGTCGATTCTGTAAACACTGCGGATCCAGAACTTTTTCAAAATGCCTGTTATTGACACTTGATGGATTGCCAAGTAAATATTTTGTCCTCTTGTGTTGTGGTGCGTTTTTACATTTGTCATTTTATGTTTTTGTGTGTCAGTCATGTTCTTGCCAAACAGGACCCTTTGAGACAAACTGATGACTCCTGTCTATTCACTGTGAGTTTCAAATAACATGGAGGAAAAAATGCCATCTTTTCTTTCATGATTCTTGGTGCCTTTTTGTGAACAAATCATCTATGTACAGTACACTATCACTGCAAGAATTCAAAGCTATGGCAATGTTAGTGATGTCCTTTACTATGAGGTTGTGATAAGCATATCACTACAGCATGCATTTCTGTCATTTTGAGTTTAATGGTCCGATGCTGAACTGAAAAACCAAAAGGTGCACTTTGAATAACGTAGTTAGCTACTTTAACAAAATGACACACGTGTGTGCTGCATTGAACCAGAGCTGCTGTGTCGTCACATATTCTGATCACATCAAAGGTTGCTGTCAAGGGAAAAAAAGGACTCTTTTAGAGTTGCCGAGCAAATGTTTTCTGTGGATGTGTATCATCTCAAGAAAGCCTTATTTAGAAAAATGGAATCTCCCAGAATCAACACGTTTTCAGTCTGGACTGTTTTTAAGGAAATAAGAGATGTCGATTTTTTAACAATATTTACAGTCAATAAGTTGATTTCATACAAAGGTGTTTTCCTGAAATCTGATAACCGAAAACAGACACCATTCAATATCTGAGCTCACCACAAATTCCTGCTTATTCTCTATCGGTCCTCTACGTCATCTTTATTTATGCTGCCGGAATTTATCCTGTTTATCTGTCATTTTGTTTCTGCCGTCTCTCTTTTTGAGAACAGCTCTGGAGAACGTGTGCACACATCTTTATACCAAAGGCCACTTCTTCAGTTGTACGAGTGCAATCTAAAGCAACACACAAAATAATGGAGTATGTGAATTCAAACAGGGATATAAGTGGCAAGAGATGTTAACATTAACCTTTTTTATTGTCCAAATTATATATTTTGTGTTGTTTTTTTTAATTTAAAAGCTCACGTTATATTACTGTGAAGTTTTGCTCATCAGTGTTAAGCCTATTGTAAATAATAAAGATATTGATGATTACTGGGTTTTTTTTTGGTTGTTTATCTGCCGGCCAACATTTTAAAGAGTTATCGATTAGCACAATATTAATATAAAAATGAGCACATGAGCCTCATTAATAAACTGCAGAGACGTATGGTAAGCAGAGGCATAATCAGAAAATCAAGTAATCAGTGTGAGGGCAAAGTTGACTGTCGATGTACATTTAGAATTTACAATTATGAGGTAGCAGTTTGTATTGTGCTCCTTGTTCAATTGAAATATGGCAGTCTAACCACAAATGAAACCTGCAAGGCGAGAAGTCATGGGGAAAGAAGACTACTAACATGGATTATTTCCCACATTCTAATTCAAAGCTGCTGCCTTGCTTTAAATGCAATGAATTATACCACAAGTGATAATCAATACATGAATGGTTCATCGTTATAATTGTCATCACAATTTGCAGTACTTAAACTAGCTACATGATTGAAGTAATGCTTAAAATGTTTGTGCGTTAATAATGACGACCCAATAGTAAAACACCAGTTTTTACACCTTCAATAAGATTTGTACGATTTTCAGAAGATTATTAGTATTCATTTTCTTTAAAGAAATTGTATTTTATGATTTTTGGGGAAGGGGAGGTTGAAAACAGTATCATAGAACAACATTTTTGTCAGATATTACAACATTCACAATATCCATATAAGAGAGGCTTTATATTTATACATTTATTTAAATTATATATATATATATACACACACACATCTGATCTCCTCATCAGCAGCACCCTTGCTGGTGACGCCTGCCCACACGTCACCCGGCTCCTCCCCAATCGTACACTATTGTAAAGATGGCGTCCATCATGGAGGGGCCGCTAAGCAAGTGGACTAACGTCATGAAAGGGTGGCAGTACCGTTGGTTCGTGTTGGACTACAATGCCGGTTTACTGTCATATTACACGGTACGTGTATTTCCAGGCTCAATAGATGCCGAACCGGTCCGCCCAAGAGGTTGGGCTGTAGAAGTTGTCGCTGGTAGTCAAACCCAAGTCTGGATAAGGGCCTTGTGTTTTTCAGGAGTTGGGAGTATCAGCTGGCTCAAAAAAAAAGGGCTAGTCTCTTTGGCGACGGACCCGTGCGTTAGCCAATGGGAGCGGCCCTTGGAGACCCGCTGGCCAATCGGGTGGCAGTTTTTTAACTTGCCCTATTTCCGCTACTCCAGCTAGCTAGCTAACTAGCTAGAAAGCATACATAACATCTTAACTACACCGACTGGGCTCGACATTCATGTTACATGGTTAACACCGTCAAGACGTAAAGAGAGAGAAACATAGCTTCGTTGTGTTGGTCGGCGAGACGGTTTCTGGGAGTTAAATAAGAGTCTCCACAATCCCCGGGTTGCTAGCTAGCTAGCTGGCTAACAAGACACAGCGGGAGGCTGTCCCAGGCTGCTAGTTTGAATCTTGGAATGTAACCTTCAAAAGTAAACAGACGGGTTACTGACATGGAAACTGTTAGTGGGGAAAATAAAAGTTAAAAGGGAGATTGAAACAATGAGCTGCCTGCTCCTCTCGGCAGGTTGACTGGATCGCCAAAGCATTCAACCGTCTTAATGACATGTTAAATAGTATAGTTTTCAGTTAATACTTTTTAACTGCCCAGACTATCATTAGCAAGCCTAAGGTGGCATCATGACAGTAATCACAGTAGTCGAGATGTTCTTCCTGTTTGGATGTGAGAATAAAGTTGCAGTGGATGCACATTTCAGGGCAAATGAAAAAAAGTCGATTGACAAAACATTTGCACGCATCAGATCTGTTAATTTGAGCTTCTCAGATGTCTGGGTTGTTTTATTTTGTCCGATTTTATCATGGAATTAATTGACGACAAAAGGAACATTCTGATCTACGTTATAACTACAACTGTATCTACATTGTCTTGAGTGTAATTGACGAAAACTAAGCTGAACTTTCATTACAAAACAAGCATTCTAGAGATTAATTCAACTGATCTATTAAAATGAAACTCTGCATTCTTTTGTAATGTGATTTAATAGAAGCTCAGCTACATTCAAATCCACACCGAGAGACTGAAGAAGAGTTCTCTCTCTACTCTCTTATTAATAGCAGAGGCTCTTGAGAATATAGGTGGGTCAAAATGCTCTTGGATATTTTAAGTCTAGGCCTAACTCTTATTGGATTGGAAAATATATGGAGCCATGGGCCAAACAAAAAGGTTTTGAGTAGCTAGGATATGTTCTAGATTAATTTAAAGAATGAATAGTGGGCCAAAGAAGACAGGTGGCCTCTCCAGCCTTATATCTTACACGACAACCAGACAGTGGTTAACTAAAGCCCTCCATACGGACTGTATCCATCCCTCATTTGTTATGTTGTTGTGATTTTCAGTCAAAGGACAAGATGATGCGGGGATCCAGAAGAGGCTGTGTGCGACTCAGGGTAAGATTCTCGGGGTCAAGGTCATCCTTAACCTGCAGACTGTCTCTTACTAGTTCCTTGTAGCCAAAATCGACAGCTCCATCCCTCCACCTGTTTATTTACGACTTGAAAGCTTTTTTCTGCCTTTTTTAAAGAGTAAAGTCAGTATTCAGTGATGCCCACCAGATGGCATCTGTGTCCCCACTTCAATACCTGTTTTACTACTTACAAGAAGAAAAGGTGAAGTCCCATATATATTTTTATTGGATTGCGCATGCATCCGTACGGAGAGAACAAGTGGCCTTTTTGTGGAAATAAATGTGTCCTTAGAGCTTGTTTGTTTTGGGACTTTTTTTGTAAAAGCTGAATTATGGTCTGACTTTTTTTGACCTGTTTTGGGACAACAAGCTTTACCAAGCACAACACGATTCCACTGACGTTACTAACGGGAGGAACTGACCCCTGAGACGACCTAAAAAGAGGATCCAGTGTCATTTATGAAGTCATAGTTGGAGGCCACAGTTCTCCATCACAGTCAGATCAGTGCTGCACATTTCTTTTGCGATACATTAATTTGATGATCTCTATCACAGAGCCAAAAAATTTATCTCTATCATTGAAATCTGTTGTTCACGATTGTGTCCACTTCTCCTAGACTGGATTTAACTGTTATACAACTTTGAATGGGATTGTTATTTGAGTTGCGTTGACCCTCAGTTTTAGAATGACATCTAAAAATTAAAATTAGATATTTATTCATGCCTATTTTCAGTTTATAAGTTTCACGTTTCAAACCCTGATCCCTGCATTTTATTTTGTAACAAATCCCAATCTGCTGTGTCGTTTTTGATTTGTTCCAAAGTAAATTACCCGGAGGTACTCACGCTTCACTTTCTTAATTGTAGCTTTAAACAGTGTGTCTAAAGAGGGTTTGAAATGGAGGTCTGGAACATGTATTCAATTTGAAATGAAAGTTCATCCTCCTCTTCAACATTTAGGACTTTCCCGTCAACTTTGTTCTTCCAATGGAATCATTCAATCAATCAAGAGAAGAGAGTAACATTAATACTAAGTTGTGATAAATAATAATGCGTTGCCGTTTATTATGTCTTCTAAATTGTACATTTTCACACAACCACCTCCAGGCCGACTTGTCTGGGCTTTCCAGTCTAAGCTTTCCTCTAAGATATTTGGGGATGTTGAGAAATAACAGACTCAGCCCAGCTCTTCGTATGGAAGCTTCAGTTGCCATGAGCTGACGTCCCAGCCGACCGCTTAGCTGCCGGTTCTTTTCCCCCACGGCGGCTGCTAGCTGCCGGTCCCCGGTGTCTGGTTCTCTCCACCCATCTCTGGCCTTTTCTCCTCCTTTGCGCTCCCAAATCTTGCACCCGCCTTCTCGCCCCCCCCCTTTTTCTCTGCTATGCTGCGAAGGGCTGCACTCGCTTCTGTGTGTGTTTTGCGTGTGTGAGAGAGAGATGGTGAGAAAGAAGGGACGAGGTGAGAGCAGGTAGGGCTTCCAGAAGAGGAGAGAGTTAAGTACTGAGACAGAGCACGGGTAATCTGGGACAGGGGTTGTTTGCCGGAGCATGAGGAGGGCACAGTGATGGAAATGGAAAGTAGAATATGACGCGTCCCGTTACCTCACCGCCTCCTCCCTCTCTCTCTCTGACCAGGGCGCTGTGATCGGCATCGATGACGAGGACGACAGCACATTCACCATCACTGTGGACCAGAAGACTTTTCATTTCCAAGGTAAGATGTTCCCCTTTTAATTTTCTCTTCATCGCCCTCCCTCTCTATTTCTATCTCTCTCTCCCTCTCGCTCTCCCCCGCTCTCCTCTTTCCCTCCCCACCTCTTTAAAGACTTGGATCGGTCTGCACTAATGCCAGGAAACACATCCACACAGGCACCTACACAATGTCAGAGCGCGCTGCCTGCATCTGAGCTTTTATTTTCCTTTCTTCTCGTCCATGAAGTCTGACCGCCACACATTTCCGTGGATAAGCGTGATTTGTGTTACTGCAGGCTAGACATATTCCTCTGGAACAATCGACCAAGTAAGGTGTTTTTTTTTTTAAATTTCTTTCTTTTTGTTGCTTTCGACCAATCTCACCTGGCAGAGGAGGAAGCTCTGTTTGTGTGTCTCTGCGGTTGAGCCTGTGTGATGAGGGAATACTGCTGATCGGAGGTCTCTTCTAGTTACTCCGCTATCGACCTACCGGTCTCGCCATAGGGAAAGGATCGGCTCCCACCTACAGCATCGCCCACGTCCCGCCAACCCGTCCCTCTTTTTGACAGAGAGCCGCCCGGTCCGCTGCAGATACTCCTTTCTATTTATTACTAGATCGCTCCACAAGGTCTTTAGCTAACCTTCTCCACCTTTCCTGCATCTCTGTCCTTCCATCCGTCCATTTGTTTCCACCTCCTCCTGTCAACACCCAACTCCCTCACTCCAGCACCCTTCACCTCCTTCTCGAGGGTCACCAGCCACCGTCCATGGGCCCCCCGCCCCTCTCACCACCTCCATGCCCTCTCCCATGTCTGTGTTCCGAAGCTGTATGCTGTGGTTCTACAAGCGGAAGGGTAAGGAGAAAGAAG